GAAAGGCTGTGCTGGAAGCCCAAACTCGGAGGGTGGGCATTGTTAGTGGTTTACTTCTGGGCTGGGAGGACAGGGGGCATGGGGCAGAGGGTTAGGAGAGAAGGAGGTGGTGGGAAGGGAAGAGGAGAGGAGGAAGGTGCGGGAGGAGGAGGAGGAGGGAAGTGGAGGGCTAACCAGCAGGTCGGTTACCACAGCCACCTCCCCACCTCCATGTCCCTGCCACCCTCTCACAGGCAATTACAGTCCTGTTTCTGAGCAGCACGGCAGGTCCCCTGGCTGTGCCCATGTGCACGGGGTGAGGGAGGATGGGCAGGTCCCCATGTGCACGGGGTGAGGGAGGATGGGCAGGTCCCCATGTGCACGGGGTGAGGGAGGATGGGCAGGCCCCTATGTGCACGGGGTGAGGGAGGATGGGCAGGTCCCCGTGTGCACGGGGTGAGGGAGGATGGAAGAGGGAGAAAACGGCCCAGAGGGAGCCAGGCTCACACACCGTCCTGCTCTGACAGCCTGGACAGGACAATTTCCCACATCACCCGCCCTCCAGTGTCCTGCAGCCACCACCTCCCATCCCACCCCAACACCTTGCCCACAGCCCCTCTATCTGGCAGCCTCTCCTCATTTAAGTGACTTCGGTAAGTTCTGGTTTGAGAAACCCAGAGCAGAAATCCAGGCGCCAAGCTGGGGGCAGCAGTGACCCACTTGCATTCTGGGAATCCTGAGGCTAGGACTGGACCCCCAGGGGCTTCTGCACTCAGTGGGGCCGGGGAACAGCCTGAGCCCCCTTGACCCGAAGACCATAGGAGACAGAGTGAGCCAGCCTAGCGGGGAGGCCGGGGCAGCTGGAGCCGGGTTGGGAAGGGTTAAGCACCCCCCAGCCTGCCCTCCCACCCTCTCCCGGGGTGCAGTGGGGATGGTGGGGGTGTAGCGTGATTGTCCGATGACCATGACTCAACCTTTAGGCTGGATGAATGGTGCTTCCTCATCCCAACCTTGGCTTACCCAAACCCTTCCTGGCTCCCTGCCTGGCCTCTCCCCCTGAGACCTGCCCCCAAGTCGGAGAGGGGGTTAGTGGGGTGAGCCGGTAATTCTGGGTCTAGCCCCCACTCTGCCCCCTCCCCCGGCCGGGGCCCACACATTGGCACCCTCCGGGGAGTCTATAAGCAGAAGCACCCGAAGTTAAGACATGAAAGTACATGCCGAAGCACAAAAATATCACGCTGCTTCGTGCAGGTCCCGAATATACAGTTACAAGCACCGCTGCTTCTTCATGCGTGTCCCGAAAGCGCTGGTCTGCTGATGCAGGAGAGGGGACAGGAAGCGCCCGCGGCGCCCGCACGGTGACTGTAGCAGCAGTGAGCATTGCACAGCACTGTGGAGCTGAAGACATCAGTGTATTTCAATACATTAGCTCACCAGGGTCCTACTATGTGCTGTGGGACCCTCTATGTACTAAGCATGTTGCATGGGGCATCTGGCTAATACGTGCAGGTGAGACAAGCGAGGCTCAGAGAGGTACAGGTCACACAGTAAGCGAGAGAACTGGGACTCCAGCCCGGACAGCTGCATGGCGGAGCCCCGGCCCTGGCTGCCTTGGTCATCACGCACCCGAGGCTGGCAGAGAGCTTGTTTCGGATCAAGTTTGCTGAGCACCGAGATGAGTGGCGGCAGAAGGTGCCCAATGCAGGGTGCTAGCCGCCTGCTGCCCGACTCTGGCTGTGACTGCCTCTCAGGAGAAAGGGGATCTCTGGGGGAGGCAGTGGTCCGACAACAGGAGAACTTACCACGGGACCCACCTTCAGTGACAGCCAGAGCCACTGCCCACCCTGGCCAGCTCATCCCACTCACCTCCCACCCAGTGTCCTCAGGAGGCCTGACTGGGACAAGGAGCATGGGGTGGGGCCGTGTGTCCGGCCGCCAGGAGCAGTGGCCCAGGGGACGGGGATGCCCTCTGGAGTCACTTGACACCCAGCACAGTGTGCCAGGTCCAAACCCGGGGAGGAGAGGGGCAGGGCTGTGAGTGGGGCCTTCTGGTCAGGTGCCACCTCTCCATGGCACTGAGGGGGTGGGGCAGGCTCAGGCCTGCTAGTCAGGCTGCTGGACACACAGGTGCTGTCCCTGGGAGCCTGCGGGGTGAGGGAGTGCCCACCAGCCCGCCCGGGGTCTGCTTGATCCAGAGAGGAGTCTAGATCTCCTCCGGCCGGGCCGGGAAGGGAGGAGAAGGCTGTGGTGGGAGATCCCAGGTGCAGGATGTGGACGCAGGGTTTGGGACAAATACACAACAACACAGCTGTCTGAAATCATATCCGCCTGGCTCCATGCATTCAGTGGTGGGCAGGAGAGCCCCCCAAGCTGCCCCAGGCAGAGGCGCTCTCAGGGACTCTGACTTCCAGGGGCGGGGCTCTCGGAGGGCGGGGCAAGCGCAGATTAGGAGGGAAG